TGTAAGTTGCTGGCTTTCCAAAGCAAAATAGATTACTAACTCGCTTACCTGCTCACAAAAGAAATGTTGTGGTCATCCATCACTCTGTCTTAGAGACACCAACAGACTCCAAAAGGCAAAGTCCAGAGGCTGCCCTCCTTCCATAAGCACTCAAACACTTCACATTTTATTTTTCTCTTGAAGACTTATCACTATAAATAAGAACAAGTATCTTCAAAAATATCTCAGACCAACACTTTATTTTGACTCCTTGTTTAGGGGCTGTCATGTACAACTTCTGTTCGGAGTCATATTTTTGTTACCAAATTCAATTGTCACTTTGACTATGAAAAGAATTTGGCATATGGAAATTTATTTTCATTATTTGATTTTAGAACCATTTGTAGATATATTCAGCAAATATTTAATTTGACTGTAAGGTCAGTTGGTCACATGGGACACAAAAGTGAAGAAAAATGTTTCTACCTCCAAAGAAGCTTTAGAGACCATACAGGTTCACTCACATATACTCACCATAAAAAGCAAAAGTGATAAGTAGAAAAAACTGTGCAGATAAAGGAAATATTTTGAAGTAGAGAATAAATAGAATAATATTCATTTCTAAAATAATTAAAATTGGATGATTATTCAGAAAAATACAGCAATTTGCTTTCTTTCTATTTCAGTAAGATAATTACTGGATCAAAATTTCCTAAACTGTGAACCAGCTGTTTAATAAACACGATGTGCTTTCCTCTGTGATTTTGTTTAGGAAACTATCATTGTTCAGTGATTTTTACATTTCTTATTGAGGTGATGACAGTATAGTCTATCACTAAAATCCAGACTGATTATATTTCTGTTAGATTACTAAGAAATAATTGCCATCATAATTAAAGCTTTCTTTCTCAAACCAGATTATATCTTCTACACATTTAATTTTCACGTTAATTATCAAATAAATGAAGACAATTTAAAGGTTTTTTGCATTGAACTATATCATTATACCATTGCTTTTGAAATATATGCTCAAATTGCATGTATGTTGTATGTTAATATAAAAACAGAGTATAATTTAATATACAATGTGTGTCTAAACATAGAAATAAAGAGGTTGTATTAAAGCCAAAATCCAAAATATCTTTATAATTATGGTTCTTCATGATTGCCAGTAATGAGATTTTAGTACAGATATTTGTCTGTAGAAATTAATTTATATAGATTTAACTTAATAACTGTAGAGCCTGTAATGATAATGTTTTTTTTTTCCGTTTAAGAACATATTCACTTATGAGTATATCTCAAAAAATTGTGGAAAACTGAATTAGTTTATTTATATGTAAAAATTTTGAAGCCCATTGACAGTTTTTTTCATAGTATGCATTTTCTGTCAATTTTTTAAAGGCACCTCATAATTTTCCTCACATGAGCACATAGCAGCTTTCTGAAACAGATATTACTTTTATGTTCATGCTTCAGAGAAGAAAATTATAGTTAATAACTCTAGTAATTAGGAGAGGAATGGATCCCATTTCCTCTATCCTATTTAATACCTTTTATTATCTTTTGTATGTGTAAGGTATTCAGTGAAGGGTAGAGCACATCAAAATGTTTCTTGATAACCAATTTGTATTGTGATTTTAGTTTACAAAAGATGGACACTCATGGCCGGTACCACGGCTCACTTGGCTAATTCTCTGCCTGCGGTGCTGGCACCCCAGGTTCTAGTCCCATTTGGGGCACCGGATTCTGTCCCGGTTGCTCCTCTTCCAGGCTAGCTCTCTGCTGTGGACCAAGAAGGCAGTGGAGGACGGCCCAAGTGCTTGGGCCCTGCACCTGCATGTGAGACCAGGAGGAAGTACCTGGCTCCTGACTTCGGATTGGTGCAGCGTGCCGGCCATAGCAGCCATCTGGGGGTTGAACCAATGGAAAAGGAAGACCTTTCTGTCTCTCTCTCTCTCTCTCTCTGTCTAACTCTGCCTGTCAAAAAAAAAAAAAAAAAAAAAAGATGGACATTCATATTATCCCCTGAATAGGCAACTGAAAATTCTAGAAAACTGAAACACATTTGAGAGATGGTTAAGACATTAGTAGAACAACCGACCATAAGACAGCATTTGATCATCAGAGCTTTGGTTCATCAGAGGAGGAGAGGTCACATTCACCTAGGGAGATCAAGAAAGTCAGCTATGTTTCCAAAGATAACTGAAATAAATTGACATATAAAGCCAGGTGAGGACTGCCCATCTTTAAAGCCTAGTCTTTCTCAGATTCTGTGCAAATCTGCCATGCTTCCTAAGCCAGATATCTTTTTAGAGGAAAAAATAGTAATATGACTTCCAACACAAAAATACAAGGGTTCTTAGAGAACAAGCATTTCTGAAATTATTCAAGACATGAATATGCTAGAGCAAATAAATTCCCAATACCATGTCAGTCTTAAGGAAAAGTCCATTTCTGTGTTATAACAAAAGGATAAATACAATAACCCAATGTTGAAAATGTTGGCTTCGAGAAAAGCAATAATAATTCAGAACATTTTTCACTGCATAGAAAATAATTGTTCAATCCTAAGCCGTAAGTCCTCTCTATTTCTTGAAATACCAACACCAGGTCTTGACATCATGGGCATTTTGAATAATAAGCATGATGTCCTAGAGTGGCAAGAAATTAAAAAGTTGAAGGATAAGTATAAAGAAACAGAGAAAGGAGGCTAGTCTTGTGGTGTAGCTGGTAAAGCTGCCCCCTGCAATGCCAACATCCCAAATGGGCACCCATTAGAGTCTCGGCTGCTCCACTTCTGATCCAGCTCCCTGCTAATGGCCTGGGAAAAGCAGCAGAGGATCACCCAGGTGCTTGGGCCCTGCTACCCATGTGGGAGACCTGGAAGACCTGGCTCCTGGCTATAGCCTGGCCTAGACCCGGCTGCTGTGGCCATCTGGTGAGTGAACCAATGATGGAAGGTCTTTCTCTCTCTCTCCTTCCCTCCCTCCCTCTCTATAACTCTGACTTTCAAATAAATAAATATATCATAAAAAGAAACAGAGTAAGAAAATCTTTTCTGTAGGCCAAAAGATCAACAATAGCAGAGGCAAAAGAAAAAGCAAGAGGGAGATTGATGTCAGAGGATTCAATACTCTTTAGAGCTCAAACTGACCTGTCCATCACAGATTTTTCTTAATGCATGCTGGTCATAGATGTGTGGGTGGGATTTAAAATTCAGAGCAAGCATTTGGTTAGCAGCTGAAACATCTGTGTCCCATATTGGAATGCCTGCATGTTATTTATGTAAAGGGAACAAATTTCATGTATTTCACAAATACAGTTTTAAGAGCATAATGATACTCCCCACTCTACCTGCACTCCCTCTTTCTTTCTCCCATCCCCCTTTTCCTATTCTTCTAATTTTTGCAATGCCATAAGTTTTATGCTGAGTTGAAATATGTCAATGTTTATTTTCCTTTTAATATGTCAATGCTTAATTTCCTTTTTAATACTGTAAACTCTTTTTGGCTCTATGAGCTATCTTAATTGCCATAAAATATCGACATATAAACTCAAGAGGCAGCATCCTGTAAAACTCAAGTAGAGTGATGCAATAAAAATTGAGTGGTAGGCCGGCGCCATGGCTCACTTGGCTAATCCTCTCCCTGCTGCGCTGGCACCCTGGGTTTTAGTCCCAGTTGGGGCGGGTTGGGGCGCCGGATTCTGTCCCGGTTGCTCCTCTTCCAGTCCAGCTCTCTGTTGTGGCCCAGGAAGGCAGTGGAGGATAGCCCAAGTGCTTGGGCCCTGCCCCACATGGTAGACCAGGAAGAAACACCTGGCTCCTGGCTTCAGATTGGTGCAGCATGCCGGCTGTAGCGGCCATTGTGGGGGTGAACCAATGGAAAGAAGACCTTTCTCTCTGTCTCTCTGTCTCTCACTGTCTAACTCTGCCTGTCAAAAAAAAAAAAATTGAGAGGTAAATAATAATAATCAGAATTAGTGAAAACAATTCAGTTTTTTGTAAAAGTGATGAACACATGGAAATAAGTTGGGGAAAGAGAAACATAAGATGGCCTAATTTATTAAATATTTAATGCTTCTTGATATTTTCAAGGATGAAAAACAACCATTAGAAGAAAGAACTATTATGCTACTAGCATAAATTCTATTTTGGTGAGTTTCTGCAAATGGAATATATACACCCTAACAATCAGAGTATATTTTGTTAATGTAAATTATAGCTTTATTTGTTGAGCACTTATTACTTGCAAATCACTACTAATACTTTGATTTACTAATCCAAACCATGAATAAGTTTAAGAAGTAGTTATCCCAATGAGTTGAGGAGAAAATTGAAGCACAATGAAGATTGATCCTTTCCTCTTTGAATAGCATTGCATAGCTACTAAATGATAAAACCTGACTTTGAATTTAGGTTATCTGACACCAGAATTTATGTTCTTTTCACTGTAGTGAACCACATCTGCAAAGAGAACTTAGACTTTATAATATCAATGAATTGTATTTAGAGATATATCATCTGAATGAAAGCATATTCACTTTGGTACTTTCTTATTGAGTTTTTCTTTGTCTTTTTCATTTAGGTTTGAACTTGTAAATGAGCTTTTTCCATTCTTCTTCATTGAATGAACAATTTATGTTTCATTTCATTTTTTGCCCTTTATTTTTGCTCTGTTTTCTCATCAGAGAGAATATCTTTATAAGAAAGGACTACATACAGAATATAGTAATGAGAAAGATAAATCTACTTACATAAAGCTTTGTTTATGTGCTACTACCATCTGAATTCCCTAATTTTTGATAATTCCATTTTAAAATTAATATGCTTTCATGTAAATGCACATATATATATAAACATGATTGAATAAATTCAGCCAAAACATAATATTACCTATTCTTAGCATACCTTTAACGATACACAGAATTTACCCATCATGGACTGTTTCTTCATGGTTTATCCATATGACTCGTGGGCAACCCAAGGTAGTAGTCATTTGCTTTTTCCCCCCTAGAAGCTCAGAAGAAGCAATTGGAAGAGAGTATAGAGCTGATCCAAGACGAATGTGTGTCAGAGAATGCAGATCACTCTACAGAGGAGCCTGCTGAAGGAGGGCCAGAAGCGGATGGAGAAGAGATGACTGATGGGATAGAGGAGGACTTCGATGAAGATGGGGGTCATGAGCTGGTAGGAACTAAATATTTGGTGTCCACACCCATTGAGTAAGAGCACTAGTGTGTCAGCAATACATTCATTCTAACATGATTAACTCATTTGGGGAATATTACTTTCTTATTTGCACTATTAAAGGGAACATTAATTTAGTGCTTTGCACATAGTAAGTGCTCAATAATCTTTTTGTTAACAAAATATCAGGATGTAAGGGAAAGAACCATAGAAATAAGCTATATGAGAGTAGGAATAACTAATGTCCCAAATGAAAGATTCTCTTGTGCAAATCCTTCATTGTAGAAGGAATTTTGCATTTGTGAAAGTACAAGATAATTGTATATAAATACAATATACTAATACTAAATGACCATTTACTAGAAGATACATACCTCTCCTTCTTATTTACTAGTTTTAGTCACTGATGGTAATTATCATTACTGACTGCACAGCCAAAAGTCCTTTCTCCATGCTTTTACTAAAATAGCATTACTCCTTGGAGTATGACTAATTCACCATTTTCAGTGCCTGTTCTATTGATAATCAGTATTTATTATTTGAAAATTTAGCTAAGACCTGATTATTTGTGTTTTATTTTCTCAATTATATAATCGTTATACTGCCCATTTCCAGATGTTCTTTTCCACATAACCACACTAGGAACTTGGTAAATACATAGTGAAGAAGATGTTATCTCTCTTATTTTATCAACCATGAAAATAGATACACTGTATCAAAAAAAAACAACTTACTAAAACAAGGTACAAGGGCATGTAGTGTGTCTGTGTGTGTGTGAGAAAGAGAGACCAACTCTTAAATATTTATAGACTGAACTTGTTAAACTTGGCTCATTCCAGGCAATATCAGATTACAATTTTTAAATACTTATTGTTACTTAAGTAATTTTGACATGGTAGTAGCTATTATTTCGGTATGGTAACCACTTTATTGTTAGCTTTAAAGATAGCTTATTTTTACAAAGTTTTGTATTGACATTTAATATTATAGCTCTGTTTAAATTTCCTGGCACTTTTATTTAAACTTTTCAAACATGAGCTTTTAACAGCCACCTCTATTTTTATAAAATTCTGCTGCTGTTTGAAGGACTTAAGTATCTGTTTTTAGAAATATATTGATTTCAGGAATCGACTGATCAAGGTCTACAATAAAGGACAAATATGTTTCACAGCTTTTCCTTAGGCAGGACTTTTAATTCAACAGCGTGATGTGCTGAATCCATTATAATCAGACTTCTGTTTCACTTTTTCATTGTGTCTACTCATGTAGAGGTTTCTGTAGGGCTCCATATAGTCTTTTCCCATGGGTACCTCTTTGTACTTACTTTAAATTACTCTTCAACAGGACTTTGCATAGCTAGCCTCTCCCTGCTTTTGAGAAATTCTCTTATCTTATCAATTGATTACATCAGTTTCCTATGCTAGAAATTTCCCTTCCGTACTCCTAATTTAATATTGGACTAGTTCAGAGCTTTGTCATCATCCACTTCCTCTTTCTCCACATTTTCTGAAGCTGTCTTCATCAAATAGCAGAATTTTAAACACTATCTACAGTCAAAGAGTTGCTAAACAGACATTTTATTCCTAATCTTTCCCTTGATCTCTAGACTCAAATATTCAGCTGCCTATAACCAAAGATGTCCAATAAACAACTGAAACTTTCCATTTCTAGAAACATTCTTGAGCTTTTTCTAGCTCTTTTATTCTTTCTAAGTCTTGTGCATTCTGATAAATAACATTTCTATCAGTAGTAACCCACAAAAAATAAGATTATGGGTTATATTTTACCTCCATTCCTACTTCTGTTCATTCTACTTACAAATAATAGTCCAGTACTCACTGCATCTCCTCTACAAGTGGCCAAACTGAAGCCACCATCTTTCTCTTTTCAAACTTTTGACAGTGTCTAAACTGTTGTTTCAGTTTCAGCTCTTTATTAATTAGAACTGTTGCTGCCTAGAGGTGCTCAGATATTCTCCTTCAACCCTGGTGTTATAATTGGAGACTTTAGGAGATAAAGATTTTTAAAAAGATTTATCTCTTTATTTGGAAAGTCAGAGTTACAAAGAAGGAAGGAGAAACTGAGAAAGAGAGATAGGGAATCTTCCATCCCTGGGTTCACTTCCCAGATGGCCCCAAGGGCCAATACCAGGCCAGGCTGAAGCCAGGAGCCAGGAGCTTCATCCAAGTCTCCCATGCAGGTGGTAGGGCTCAAACATTGGGCTGTCTTCTACTGCTTTTACCAGGACATTAACAGGTAGCAGTATCAGAAGTGGAGCAGCCAGGACTTGAACTGGCACCCATATGTGAAACAGTGTCACAGATGGCAGTGTTGGCCGGCGCCACAGCTCACTAGGTTAATCCTCCACCTTGCGGCGCCAGCACACCAGGTTCTAGTCCCGGTCGGGGCGCCGGATTCTGTCCCGGTTGCCCCTCTTCCAGGCCAGCTCTCTGCTGTGGCCAGGGAGTGCAGTGGAGGATGGCCCAAGTGCTTGGGCCCTGCACCCCATGGGAGACCAGGCTAAGTACCTGGCTCCTGCCATCGGATAGGCGCGGTGTGCCTGCCGCAGCGCGCTAGCCGCAGCAGTCATTGGAGGGTGAACCAACGGCAAAGGAAGACCTTTCTCGCTATGCCACAACACCAGCTGCAGGAAACTAAAGAATTAAATATTGTCTCTAGTATGTCATTTGGTTTCTATAACTTGGAAAATAATGAATGAGAATGAGTTTAATACTTACATCTTGCAATTTAAATGGAAACTAGCGATCAGACAAGAGAGAATTCCCCAGTCTAGTTTCTGCTGTTTTCTCCTTTACAGGCCACATGAATCAAATTATATTAGGTTCCCAAAAAGAAAAGTCAAAGCAAACATTTATTTTTTGTAATAATGAATTATTATAGATTGGAACAAGAATACAGTATAATTAAGATTTTAGCATGTGCAATAGGAGTAAAGAAATTAGAGCTGCTATCCACATACTTAGGTGACTCTTTAGGGCTAATGTGGAAATATATTCAAAAAGAATGAACAAGGAATAAAAATTGGGTCTGAAGCAAGGGAAAAACATCAAAACGAGCTCATAGAACAGCTCAAGTGGCTCCACTTGAGAACAGTGAGAAGCTAGACATGAGCAAGGCTGTCCATAGAACATTTATTTCTAAATTTCCACTTAGCAAAATTGATTTCTATAAAATAATCCATTCAACTATCATTTAGGAACCTATCATGTATGACCAAGTGCTACAAAAAATACAAAAATAATAAAAATTATTGCTTTTCCCATAAAATGAAATTTAATAAAATGGATTCTTGTCTCAAGAAAGTTGGTGTCCTGTAGAGAGATGACTTATTTCCTCATGTCTAAAAAAATCAGGCTTGGACTTGATAATTTATAAGAATCTAGTCAAAAATAAAAATCTGTGATTCTAAAATATTCTGTGCTTATTTGATTTGTTAGTGCATGGAAATCATGATTTTATTTTATTTTATATTGAATTTTTTTAAAGATTTTATGTATTTATTTGAGAGGTAGAGTTACAGATAATGAGAGGGAAAGACAGAGAGAAAGGTTGGTTCTGTTGGTTCACTCGCCAAATGACTGCAACAACCAGAGCTGCGCCAATCTGAAGCCAGGTGCCAGGTGCCTCTTCTTGGTCTCCCATGCAAGACACCAGCCACAGGAGAGAGCTGGATTGGAAGAGGAGCAGCTGGGACTAGAACTGGCACGCATATGGGATGCCAGTGCAACAGGCAGAGGATTAACCTACTGTGCCATGGCACTGGCCCCTGAATTATATTTTCGGGCACTATACATGCACTGTTAAACCACGGTCGTACTCCTGTTTCTGCATAAATCTATTAGCAAGTATTTACTGATTGACCACTGATTGAATTGTACTGAGATTTACACAATGGGAATAAAGAAGGAAGATCATATTCTTTCCTTTAAGAAGGACGTGCACTAACTGAAAATAAAGGTCATAGACCAAAAATACAAAGCTGTATACAATGATAAGAGGCACTGTTTACAGGTGGGGAATCATGCATGGCTAGCATATTCAATCAAGTCTTCCTGGCAACAGTGGGATTGGAAGTTTACCTTGAAAGATGCCAGATTGAAGAAATAATACATGCTAAAGTCGAGGAAAGAATATGCAAATCATCCTTCATTGTCCTTGGCTCATTTTTTGAAAAATGAATTTGAAATTCAAAATGCAGTAGGTATTCTACGTGCTAGGTAGGTAGCTAGCAAGGCATATAAAGGTAAGTTCTTTAAATAAAATTATTAGAAACATCACAAATGAGACATTTACCCTTCAAGTTCATTTATTCTCTTCATATCCAACAAGTATACATTTTCCTTTATATAAAATAACATCATCCAAAGTAAAAGTGGCCTCACCGTAATGAAAATACTATGGAAAAGTCCGTGCTTAGTACTCTGCTAATTAAAAAAGCTAATGAACTCTTCTTCCCAGGTGAATGAGAAAAGGCTTCTGTGTACAACCTTGGACATTACTAAGCTTTCAACTGCATTATGGAGCCTTAGGGAGGCTGAAGCAGTATTTTCCAAAGCAAAGTTCATCATAGACCTAAGGTGCTTGCTAAAAGTGTTGGTGAGGATGAGGAGAAAAGAGAACCTCCATACTCTGGTGGTGGACATTCAAATTAGTACTACCATTGTGGAAAACAGTGTGGAGATTCCTCAGAAAACTAAAAATTGAACTATATATCCAGAGGGAATGAAATCAGTCTAAGAGCCATGTATACTTTTATGTTTATTGCAGCACTATTCACAATAGCCAAACAATGGAAACAATGTGTCCATCTGCTGATAATTGTATAAAGAAAATATGGTATATTTGCACAAGACACTACCACTCAGCTATAAAAAAAAAAAAAAAGATCTAGTCTTGCCATTTGGAACTGGGGGACATTATGTTATGTAAAATAAGCTAAGCACAGAAAGACAAGTATAACATTCTCACTCATGTGGATT